ATATATATATATATATCTTACATAAACATGTATACATACAGAGGTTAAATTATGTTGAAAATGGAATACGCTCAAGTTAGCGTCTGCAGTTTGTGTTCAGCAGATACAGTAAGGCCTTGCCTCTCAAGGACCTATCGTCTGTAACGCCTGTCGGGAGATTCGGTCGAGCTCTATGGCTGCCGGGCCCACAGGTTTGGTGAAATGTGGAGAGCTGATATGGAAGTAACCGCTTGAAAGTGCTAGCCCAAACTTCTGAGCTTGTCCCCCAAACCCGACCACCAGAAACCCCGCACCCCTGTCTCTAAGGGCTCAAACTCCAAAGACTTGAATAAACCTGTCTTCCAGAAATTGAAGCCTCTTATGCAGATACATTCTTGACTCAAACCATGAAGTGAAACCAATCTGGGGCATCCCACTGGCTTTCGCGCCACATCCGCGAGGCAACGCTGGGCCTGGGTATAGGAATCGGGGGGGGGGGAGCAGATGTAGACTTGCACGTTTTGAACGGTTTAGGGTGGATAAAACTGGCTGCAAAACGCGTTATTGCAAGGGGTGCTGCAGCGGCTAAGTCTAAAATGGTTATGGTTCCAGAAGGTTTGCCATAGTGTTTGTGTGAGGGTCGCTACGCAGGTTAGTGTAGCATAAATCATTGCAGTGCGCTTCCGCTTACTTGCCACCATAAACATGACTGTCATATACTCATGTGATACAATACAGCTTACATGTAAGGTTTTGAAAATTCGATAAGGGTAGAGGAAAACTACATGGTGGGCAGCATCAGCAACCGCAATGCCTACGCCGAAAGACAGCTGTACAGTAGTACTTGTAAACCTGCATTACAACTAGCCATAAACCCGGGGTGTACGGATTTTAGACCGAGTGTTTCACCCCCCCCCCCGCCCTCAAAGCCCATGCTCCCAAACGTCGTCGTGTCAGCTTTCAGGCATGGCTTTTGTGCTTCAAGACATGGCAAGGGTTCCCACAACGATCGTAGCATCAACGCCGGCGGCTGCAGCGGCGTCAGCAGCCACAACCACAATCACAACCACCACGACGACTTCTATCCTCATACTACAACCACTACCACGATCGCGACTGCTACTATTGCAACGGCCACATAAGACTTAGATTTTCCTGCGCGTAACCACCACGGTCGCAACATCATGATGATAGTAACCATCATGCTTAAAAATCTTTGTCGTCCTGAGCACCACGGAATTAACGGGTAAAGAGCGCTGCCCCCGAACAAACTGAGGCCCATCACGAGCTTGGCCACAGCATTGGTGGGCATGGGCTCTCCAAAGCAGGTCAAGCTCAAGCTAAATAGTAGGCGCTTTGGAGATGTTGTGACGAACCCATTGGGTGCAGGCTTGAGGTATGTCTGCTGTGAGTCGTGCAGTGGGCTAGCATGCTTCCCGTCCTCCCGGCGGTGTCTAACTCGTGCCGCGGTCCTGCAAGGTAGGTTTGTGGCTCGTCTCAGGCCGAGCTCCCGCTCAAGTAGCCGGGGATTGATCGTCCAAGCAAGGTGCATGCACGTAAGCTAGGATTTGCGTGTCGGTCACATTGATGCCCCCTGGAGCTGCACCTCCAATAAATCCTGGAATATCTGCGATCCCAAACACTTCGGGAGGAAGACTGGGATGAAGAGTCACCATGTCAGGCGAGTCAAGGGCCTGGAGGCGTTGAAACACCTGAGGCTCTCCTTGAAGCTCTGGGGGTATACCTTATGGCGTTTAAGATAGTCGCCCGAGTTGGCGAAATCACCGCAGAACCTGCAGCACTCTAATACAGAGGTCTTGATAATCATGTCAGATATAATTGGAATAGGGCTTTGGGGCCCATGATACTATAACTATAAGAAGGAGCCCCACCCAACTAGTATATTGGCAATTCTTAAGGCCCCTACATTGGACAACAGCCCTGCGCAACTCAAGCTTCCCAGGTCCCATGGCCCATCGTATGACAACTAAAGTCCGACAAGCTTTGCCCTAGAAAGCGCCTAAACCCTACACCCTAAATCCTAACCCCTAAACCCCTAAACTCCTAACCCCTAAACCCTAAACCCTAAGCCCTAAAGCTGCAGGCCAAAGTGACATGAGTTCCCTTTTTGAACCCAGGCTCTTTGCTATCAGCTGGGGAGCAGGCATGACATGAGTTCCCTAAACCCTAAGCCCTAAACCCTAAACCCTTGAATTTGGAGGCTTCGAGGGTCATTGATGGGTTTCAGTCTAAGTTTAGCTGCCCCACATCTGCTCCAACCTGTAGGGGTCGTAGTTCTTCCGAAATTAGTAATAGTAATAGTAATAGGGATAGTAACAGTAATATTATCGTAATAGTAATAGTAACAGTAACAGTAATAGTAATAGTAATAGTAATAGTAGTAGTAATAGTAATAGTAATAGTAATAGTAATAGTACTAGTAATGGTAATTCTGGCATTGTTCCGACTTCGAAGGGATCATGAGCTTTGTTCACGAGGCTCTTGAAGGGCCCAGGGCTTTTTGCGGTGGCACCTGCGGGCAACATGGCACAACGACCCGCTCCCCTTCTTTCTGAAAGCAGCGATCAGCTTCCGAGGGGGAGGAGTGGACCACTGTCAAACTGTTCCGACCTGGAAATCCCTTCTGAGAGACACTTCCGCCCCAATTTCCTCTCATACACCTGCCGTGAGTCTACAGACGCATCTGTACTACACTCGAGAACTGCAAGAGAACATCTCGTACCCGTCTCGACAGTGGCCCAGTTCACAGAAACAGGTACTGTGCATGCAGGCAGTTTTCCGGAGAATGCGAGAGAAGCGTGTGCTTGGGAGGCTCAAGTAAAACTGCGCAGCTAAACATCAGGTCTTGTCACGCAGAGTCTTGGCAGGGGATTGCGTGCTGGGCGTAACCGACCACATGTTCACCAACATATGCAAAAGGAGAGATGGCGAATTCTCGATTCCGAAAGGCATATTCGGACTCGTCGAAGCATGACATGTGCCGAGCCCCCATATGTAATTACGGCCACAATAGCTACTGACCAAACATGATAATAATAACTACCAGGAATAAAAGAGGAACCCCAAAAGAACAAGACTACAAATGACAATCATAAAAAGAAACAATACTAATGTAATCATGATTGGGAGCGTCTAGGATAGGACCAGCGGCCTACATGGCAGAAACATGAGCAGCAAGGACACAAGAACGAACTATGTCAGTACCACTCTAAAATGCACAGATTGAACCCAAAATCCTTAAACTGCCTGAAAACACAGGGACCATTGAGTTTTAAAAAGACAGCATCACGGGAACTTCGGACAGGGAGGCGGTCTGGTCCAAGAGGTTCGTGTTGTGTCCGTGGTCTGTGCAATGTCGAGGCCCCAAATGCACAAGCTAGCAACATCACATGCGAGGCACTGTCTCCATCTTTAATAAAAAACAGACTATCAGCCAACACCCTGTTCGAAGTTGGCATGCCTCCGGAAGTTGCTGCGAAGCACCCGTGACTGAGCTGCAGTCACATGGAACATGGGTCTTGTGCCCCGGGGACGTGAACGAACGCCATGTCCGGTTCTGTTCGGGCGTCCCTCGAAGCGTGTTGGAGGAATGTAAAGTTCAACACCCAATGATTGGGCGAAATCTGGAATCACGCTGGAGATGTAACCTCTGCGATGGCTGTTCAACCTTTTACAGGTCAGGCCGCAGGCCAAGGTTGCTTCACCTGATGTTGCTCTGGAAGCCCGAACAGACCACAAAATGCCATGGTGGCCCTCTCAACTCGAAACATACTGGGCGGACCTGCTCTAGCCGTAAGCGGGCTTCATCGCCACGCCCCATGCAGCCTTGTGAGCACCCAAGGTCCTGCCGACAGAAGACTTTCCAATGAGTGTCTTCTGCAAGAAACTGTGACGGTGGATATACTGTACGCTGGAGGACCACAACTTCGAATAAACCCGGTTGCAGCACGACGAGGACATTCCTCATGGCTTCGAAAACCTGGTTTATCTTTTTAGGCTTTTATTAGACTCCCCAGGGACTGGGCTTCAGAGGTCCACGGCTTTATCCTAAAACTGTTGCAGGTGGGACGCGTGCACACACACACACACACGCACACACAAACACACAAAAACATCCTTGCGATGATGCTTTCGGGCTTAGATTTAAGGTTCAGGTGACGGTCCTTATGGATTTTACATATAGGATTCTCTTCATGCACAGCGGCATATCATCCAGGCCATCGCCCCATGTCAGCGGCAAGTCCCAGGTTGAGTGGAACAGCCACTCCTGAAAAACTCTGTGGTTCAAGCTTTTGCTGAACTTGCTGTGCAAGTTAGATGACCAGGGCTGGAGAACATGCTGCCCACCGACAGAGAGAGTCTGAACCAAGCACCAACCCCCAAGCCCTGAACTGCCCGAAAACGACCGGAAGTGTTGATTTGAGACTCTGGAGGGACTACATAAAGGACCACAGGATCCACGATTCACAGCTCAGTGTTGAGTTGAAGTGATCTGCTTCCTAGCTGAACACGATTCTAACAGATTTGAAATGCCTTGAACGAGAGATCCTCTGTGCATCGAATACCCTGCAGGTGCCTCGATTGACAGCCAAGGTACGAGTCTCATCATCAGTAGCTCGCGCTGCACGCTGTCAAGAATTCCAGAGGAAAACTCGCGGTAGCGACTCTTGCTGGCATCAGTGCCTGACACCTTCGCAAGCGTTGGGCGTTCCATGTTTCGGGACTGTCAACAAACGTCAACAATACGTGTGCTGCAAGGTCTTAAATTGCTCAGCACCTCCGAAAACCCTTGAGCGGTGTGCTTGGGACGCATGATGTTCGGCTGCATGGCAGCGCAAGCTTTGCAATCTTAGGATTGCGAAAGGATGACTCCCCATCATGTCCGGATACATCCAAACCCTGAACCATCCGAAGCCCTGATTACTTCACCAAGACTCCAAAGCAATTATGCGGTCCAAAGCACCAAGAAGCGCGCCACGAGGCCCTCTCCGAGCTCCTACTCAGAGCTCAGGGTTTCGGTTCGCTATTTTTTGGTTGGAGAGGGGGTTATCATTCGTTTTACATCCTGTTAGGATGTTAGGTTTAGGGCCGGGGCTTGGGGCTCCTAGTAGCGCACGTCCGGGCCCCAGGAGTCGGTGCTGCACATGGATCAAGCAAAGCTACACCACACTCCAAATGTTGTCTCGACGTCCCACATGTGTGAAAAGAACGTAAGGTCACTGTACAAGCTTCGTACTGAGCTCAGAAGTGCGTCTGACTTTGGGAAATGGGATTCGCGAAAGGTGGAAACGAACGATGCAGGCACTTCTAGGGTACTGTGTGTCACAGTGGCGGCCACTGTCTGCTTGGCACTGCCTGAAGTGGCTGCCTATAGACAGGACACGGATTCAGACTCAATGCCTTATAGAACCCTTCTAGTAACCTCTTCAGTGTTAGTTATACTAGTATTCTCTAGGATGATATCATTGCCAGAAAGCCCGCTCCGAGGTCATCCCCGCTGTCACGGGCACCATGACTTCGCTACTGGCCTCGAACGATTGACTGGGGCTCCCCTGAGGGACAGCAATCTCTTCGTGATATAAGTACCGGCTACAAAGGATACTATACATAGGGTTACAATAGGGATACCTTGTGATACTATTGAAGGATACCAGCCGATCATACAGGAAGTGTTCTAGGGATATACCATGAAGGTTGCTATCAGGGCTGCTATGTACTATGAGGGATGCTACAAGGGATGCTTTAAGGGGTACTGTGATTTACTGTCAGGGTGCAAGGGGCATTCTAATTGTCTTTCTGATGCTATTTTCCATACTCCGGACGTTTCCAGGATCGTGCATGGAGTCGCTATCATTGTTGTGGTAGTGGGGCTGGTGATCGTCGCATCTCAGTAGCACTGTACACGGGGTATGGTCGCACTGATGGTGTGGTGGTAAGAGGGTAAAAGATGGCGGCGGCAGTGACAGTACGAATACTCATTCATCCTTCCAGATACTTAAGTCCGACTTTTCAAGCTTACCACATCGTTTCTCAGCTTTAGGGCTCCTATAGTAGGCAGCAGCGAGGAGCTCAGCGGAACTAATGGAACCGAACTAATCCCCGAAAGGATTCTGCTTGAATCGCCTTGGAGAGCAGGAACTTGCTAAATACCCAGCGTCGGCGGAAGACTGCGCCACTCGCGGCAATGAGGTGCGAAATTTGCCAATGCTTTGGGACCCGTTTTGCATAGCACGACCCGGCTAGTAAGATCAGCTACCCGACCTTCGCCCGGCGACGTCGGGTGCTCCTATACTGCTCATGCCACTGAGAAGCTGCCAGCTGCAGAAGGGGCGTCTCCTCAGAGAGGGTCTCGAGAACTCATGAGCGACTGAAACCGGATATACGTGGGCACCCTAAGGCCCAAGCAGCAAGCCTTCCCCCCAAGCTCGCAGAAATGCGCTAGCTACTGACCCCACTGGAGGGCTGTGGCACTGTGGGAAGCGACAAGTTGAACCCCCCAGAGACTCCAATACCCCTTAATTAAGGAATATACCTTAAATTAGAGTAGGATCCCTAATATGATTTAA